ATTACAGGTATCCTAACCCAATCATTAGTAACAGTTGCCGTAATATGAATATTACATAGATGATTATCCAAATTTTCACTGTCGATGGGATTTGAACACCCAACCTACTACTTGGAGGGTTGACAAACTGACCAATTCACTAGGTCACCACACAGTAGATTGATTAGTTCTTAGCTTATACTAAATAATTCATAAATAAATAGATTGTTAAATCTGAAATTAGTATCTAAAATTATTTATTTTTTAGTCATAAAGAATATACTATAAATAAGCTAAATATAAAGAATTTTATTTTAAAAACTTATCTGTACTTGCTTTGCTGATATTATCATGTTTTTTGATAATCTTCAAAACCTCACTCTTAATATTTTAAAAGAAACAAAATATAGTGCAATATAAAATATTAATGTTACAGAATTGTCATTATATAAAATATATAATAAAAAAATTTTAATAATTAACTTTGAATTATTTACAATTAGAGTTCCTATCCATTATTCATTTATCCATTTATCTATTGGATATCCAGATCTGAATTTATTCGGATATCCGTTTTACTATTGTCATCTGGATAATTATCTGAATATTAGTCAGTTTATCCAAATATCAATAGTAAATAGATATCTGGATAAAATTCAGATATGGATAAATAGATGACAGATTTATTCAGATTGGAATTCTATTTACAATACTTCTATGTAATCATACATATTATAAAAAATGTATTGAAAAAAATTTATTATTTATAAAAAAAAACAAATATCTTATTACTGAATATGAAAAAACTATTGATCTCATAATATTTGAATAAAGATTTTCTAAATCATCTCAATCTAGTGAAACTTTGACTATTGCAGATATATTAGGCAATAATCTTAGATTAAATTCACTAATAATTGCATCACTATTATTTGAAGATAGAATACAAAAAAAACATATCAGAGAATCTACAAATAAACCATCTAATAAAAAAATAAAGAAACCAGTTAAAAAAGAATCAGACATATTAGAAGATCTTATAAAAGAATTATCTACTGAACCTGAAACTCAAGTTCCTGTAATTAGAAAAAAAAATATTATTAGTTTTAATAATTTATATAATAATATAACTAATTCAGAAATGTAAAATGAAATTATTAATTAGAATGTTATAACTATTATTTCTTTGATAAAACTCTATCAGAATGATTTAAGCATCATGAGAAAACAATTCTCCCATATGTTTTTTTGTTGCTAGTTAATAAAGAAGTTAGAGAGCAAATTTCCAATATTACAGATATTACATTGTGGAAGAAGGTAGAAAGATCACAAAAGCTTTATATGCTCTTTATTAATATTGGAAAAGATAAAATTCAAAGAGTCAAATCTTTCAATGCTTTGATCATTTCAAATTAAGGCAGGAGGATATTGATAATATAATACTTAGCATTTTGAAACTGAAAAATTAATCTACTGCATCAATCATGTGGGTCACATGTCCTGACCGTGAGATCAGGATTGATAATGATGATATTACTAAATTAATGTTTTTTTTACTCTGCTATAAAATTAATAAAGTTTTTATATATCACTACGTATTATTCGATTTTTAAATATGTTTATTCAAGATTTTTTATCTATTGCAATTATCTACCATATGAGGCTTATAATTTGTTTATAAGACAGCGGGTTTGTATAAAAAATTTAGCCACATATATATTATTTTTTTCTATTAATATAACAATGAATAATATACTTACAAATCAAAAAAGTTGAAATTATATCGAAAAGTGGCATATCTATAGAGGGTGGAAGCATGGGTGTAAGGTTTGTGACGAATGCAATCATCATTCACACCTATATTGCAAAACCTGCAAAAAAGTAGTGGATGGAATATATAGGCGATGTGAATGTGATAATTTTTTTAAGGGAATCTCGAATAATTAAATAAAAATAAATCTGAATTAGCAATAATTTGTCAACGTAACAAAGGTATTCATTAACGTATTAGAATAACTTCCGCATGTAAAATTTATCTATACGTATTACTTTACAAGGCTTATCATTATGCAATTTTGTGTCTATGACACTAGCTTCGCAACGCTCGTAGGAAAAAAATAATACTACTTGTAGGCCTTATAGGGTTGGCTATTTCTTAACTGTATTTTTATTACAGTTTAATGTATCTGGCATCTGTATGCCCATATATTTTATTTGTAAGAATAAAGCATATTTTTTTTTCTGAGATATGTTGTTATCGATGTTATTGATCTAGAATTTTCTTGGCGTTTTACACTTCCTAAACTTAGTTCAGAGATTTTTATCACGTGAATTCTGGTGGGAATTGGGAATTGTATCTATGGACGTGATTGTGATACATACATATTTATTTGATATGTTGATCCGAAAAGATAAACTTCCAAACATATTTTTTTAAATAATGACTATACAATCAATGCCTGTTCTTATGGTCTTTTATCAAGTTACCCCAGTCGAAAACTGGACATGTGTTAATGTAATGGAGTATTATCGTTCTAAAATAGAGAAAAAGGACTTTAAAGAGGTGTTAGATCGTGTAAAGAAAGATCTTCAAGAGATTGCAAATTCTAATTCCGATTTTGATACAACTCGCAAAAAAAAAGCACAAGAAATCATCGATAACTGGAAGGTATACATTTTGTTCGGTTAGATATTTGAGCTAGTTAAGAGATTAGTCCATACAGTGATGAACTGTTAGTTCGACGCTTAGCGCAAGCTGGGACTGTTAGTCTACCAGTGATGAATTGCTAGTTCGACGCTAGTGCAAGCTGGGACTGTTAGTCTACGGGGACGATCTCTTGATACTTCTGTTTTATATTTTTATTGAAAAATATCATCCTATAGGTATTACTAATTGGTATTTTTTTTTTGTCAAGGAATGGACTATTTCGATAAAGAACCTGAAAAAAGATCTGCGAATCAATATTCAGGTAAGATTATAATTCGAAAGTTTATGCAAGAACAAAAAATATTGAATCATGTTTTCAATTAGGTAGAACAACAGATACTTGCGTCTGGTAATGCAAATCAGAACATTGGTACCATAAACAGCCATTGTACAGCTCTTGGAAAATGTCAAAACGATAATTCCGAAGGAACTCCCAAAGGAAAACGCCAAGATACGGGGGATAGAGAAACTATAAATGAGCCTGTGGAAACCACTGATGACCCGGAAAGTGATACACAAACGATTAATACCAAACAAAACTTAAATGAAAAACAAGTTGAAGTAGGTTTCTATAAATAAATAATCGATTGTCAGAAAACATCTTTCAACTTGTTTTTTTACGACTTTCCTTAGGAAGAACTTGTGAGACGGTATAGTTTCAGAGAACGAAAGGAAACCAACTATACTGACGTTTCAGGCTCAGATATAGATCCATATCATGTAATTATTTTTGTTGCTTTTCTTTGTAATAAAAAATATACAATTCTCATTATTCTTTATTTCGGTTTGACATCTATTAAGTATCAAGCATTTAGCTCCCTGTCAAACAACCCAGATTCTTCGATTATATCATTAAATAGGCCAATCATATCTGAAACAACATATAATCTAATTTCTACGCATATAATTTGCGCGTTCAACTCAACGTTACATATGGTCAAGGAATCTGTCGAAGAAAACTTGTTTGAAAAGATTGAAAGGCTTCTTAATATGCGAAACAAACTAATTTTATCAAAGCAAATAATGCAAAAGCTTGAAACGATTTTTGAAGCAGATTTTTCAGAAATTACTTTGAAAATAATAACAGAGATGGAAAGTGAAAAGAATATGGAAAAAACTGAGGAATCACAATTCCTTTTTTTCATTAGGCATGCCCTTCTCGATTTCGTCACAATGTTTAAAAATCTGTTACCAAAGGTATTGAATCGGGATATGTCTGAAAGGACGTATATAGTTGAATCTATTTCACCTATTTTCCGATCTTTCAGAAATGCATTCCCTGAAATTAAATATGAATGGATTGAGAAGGATGTTAGATCGGTGAAGAAAGCGGGAAGCATGTTTGCAATTAATATCAAGTCTTGGAAGACTGATCTCCTAGTTATAAGGCTCTCTGATGCAACTGAAATCTTACATGTTGAAGTTTCTGGCCCGCCTTTTAAAGTGGATAAAAAACACACGATTGGCGACATCAAAAAATTGCTAATGATGGTGGTTTGCAACCTTTGTAGAATCTTAGCAAACAATTTCGATTGTCTAATTGATTACACAAAAAAAGTTAAATCATACAGTATTCAGGCAATTGGGGACAAATTAACATTATTTTCTGTATCACTTGTTGATAAGAAGAAATATTTAGCCATTGAATTAGCTTCCTGTGTAATTCCTTTTTCGTTCGAAGAAATTGGGTGTTATATAAAAATTTTTAATTTTTTTGCTATTATAAGGAATGAGTTCAATGAACAAAAAAAACTTTTAAAAAAAATTCATACTTTTGTACCTTTGGTTGAAGATGATACCAGTAAACTATGAGAATGGATAGATTTACCAGAAGATAATCTAATACCTGTAACAGAAGAGGAAATGGATGAACTTTTTTTAAATAGCGAATGAAAATTTTTATTATACAATAGTATTATTATTATAATAGGTTTCATTGATTATAGAATTAATTTGTAGTAATGATAATAATATTTTGGATTTTATTATGAGAGAAATGAATTATGAATATAGTAAATGAAAATGATTTCTTTACATGTAAAAATCTTATTTTCTCTGTATTACAAGCTATTAATTTGATCCTGGCATATTTTTAGTCTCATAATTATATGTTGCAATTCTAATTATTATTTATGATAATAAATAGCTTTGAATAATTCACATTTGTTTTTTTTTTGTTTTTTTTTTAAGAGAGGTCTTTTCTCTAGTCCTTTATTTCAGTAATATATAATTAAGTACAACTAGTACAAATTGA